ATCATTTACATGGGCTCTTGTACTTTGCCTGCTCAAGCTTGCCATCATGCCATCATAGAGAGCCATGATACTGAGTTTTTCCCCGGCCATCTTGCCAAAAGAGATCACCCTCTGTAATCTTTAACCCGGGCTATCATATCGGTATGACTCTGTAATTTTTTATCCTCAAGTGCAATGACTCTGCCCCAAGTGAAGAAATGAATGACAGAAAAAGCTGTGGTAAAAGGCTTTTCGAGAGTGTACCTAAACAGACACATAGGCTAAGAAAAACTGTTTCAAATCATAGAAAAAAGGACTGCACAATTAGGTTGCTTTCGCATTTGTTAAGAGGTAATTTTGTTTCTATGTTTCCTGAGCTTTGTTTTTCCTGGCTTTGTAATGTTCTTCTGCTCCAAAATATAGGGACCCCAAGCATCATATTAAGGAGCTGTGCTTCTGCCAACACTTTGTTTCAGTGTGCTTCTATTTTCTTGTGGTTTGGCTATTAGTCTATTTACTTATTTTCACCATCTAGAGCCTGCACACGCTGTCTAAGCTTCTATTTTCTAAAAGAGATTGTAAAATCTCCTACAGATCAATGGGTGGCAAAAGAAAGAGGAAAACATGTGATCTAATTTTACATGAAGGCTGTATAATAAAAAAAAGTTCAACAACTTTGAATTCATCTCTATATATGAATAGAAGCATGGATGTAAGTGTGAGAAACCTGGTATCCTTTGAAGAACCCCCAACAATTCCAAGATTGATACCCATAGAAAAGACTTTTAGAAACACTTTTGAAATTATTACCCAACCTGTTAATGAAGTAAATCTTGGAAATGAAACCAAAAGCATGGAAAACACTAAACATTTAGGACTCTTGCAAAATAACATAGACGGTAAATGTAAAGTAGATTATATTGGACTCATGGATAAACATTGTGACTATTGTAAAGCTTTTCTTTTTGCTTCAGAAACACAATCACAATGCTGTCATGGTGGATGTGTGTCTATAGAAAACCAAATTGAGTTCCCTGAACTGATTCATATATTATTAGATGGAACAGACCAACGAAGAAAATTCAAAGAATTAATTCGAAATTATAACAGTGCTTTGGCATTTGCATTTATAGGGGGCAAATATTGATGAAATGATTTGCAATGGACCATATTATTTCAAAATTCATGGACAAGTATACCATTCAATTGGCAGATTTTGTCCTAAGCAAGGTCATGATGCAAAATATTCTCAACTTTATATTTAGACACACTAGAAGCTACAGAAACAAGAATGAAAAGTAAATATAACAGTAAATGTGATACAACACTGATGAATGAATTAGATGCTTTATTACGAGAAATTAATCCATATGCAAAGGCATTTAAAATGCTAAAATATGTGGAAGATGAGCTCCATATGACAAGTTCAAATATAAATAATGGACTACATAATATTGTAATGTATATAAAAGGTGAAAATACAATAGATCCAAGAAGATGTAATGCACCAAATTCAAATGAAGTTGCTGCAGTGTTTACAAACCCTACTGGGGAGCTTCCATTTAACTGTAGTATTGCAATACATCCGAAAGGTGAAAGTATGCAAGAGATATCAATTGTGACATCATGTTGTGATCCTATGGTATATCCACTGCTTTTTCCAAATGGAAATGAAGGCTGGTCACCAGATTTAAAATACACAGACAAGGGTTTGTCTTTAAAAAGAACTAAGATAACAATGATGGAGTATTATCGCTACAAGTTTGCTATTTGTGGTTTGATAAGAGATAGTTTTAAGATTATTGAATTTAATTCGGTTTTAATGGGTGGAAAATTATCTCAACAATACATGGTTGACATGTACACTAAAGTAGAGGGTTGTCGATGACAGGTGGCTTGGGATGAATCGACAAGGCCACGATTCCTTTAAGTTTTCTAGAGCACTTGCTGATGGGAAAGAGGAGCCGTGTATTGCCACAGTTGTTATTAAACATGAAGATCGGTAGATCGTGGAAAGGGCTTTTGGCTGGTAGTGTAGAATCAGATTTTTTTTTAAAAAAATGAACAAGAACTTAAGTTTCTCGAGAAGATAAACTACTTTTGTCACTAACTCTTCTGGAGAGGGAGGAGGAAGATAAAGTCATAATCTTTTTTCCCCACTAATACAAGAATAAATTTTATTATTTCAACTAATGCATATGCATCAAGGCAGTGATTACAACGTTGCCAACGGTTTGATAAATGTGAACATTATATAGCAGATAGCACGGAGAAACCCTATCGTGAACGATCATGAAGTGCACAGATGATGGGATCAGAAGGGTCAAAGAAAATTCGAAAGAGGAACTTGTGTTGCGTGTGACGAATATAGATTCAAAGCCTGGTGCTCTGACCAAGAAGTTCTCTGTCACGGATGACAGAGAAATACTCGAGGCAATTGCATCACACTGAGTTTCAAGTTTAATAGATTCATGTGGTGCCCGTCTGAATTCGTTTGTAAAATTCCTGAACTACGCGTTCCTTGAGACAAATGGGAAACAGTAAGTGTATTTTCCTTTTGACAGAGCATTTTAAACACCAAAATATTCTGTAGGTCATTGATTGTTTCGGATGCATGCTTCCTGGATGGTGGAGTATGGAAGCGCCCTATCCTTCAAGATATGAAAGTGGTAAGTCCTTTCTTTGGTTTTAATTCTAAAATAACTGCTACAATTGAACTTGCCAGGGACAAAAACGAGCCCAGGAGCCCATGGAAAATATATTTCACGTCTAAACCAGTTTATTCAATTTGTTCCCTTTGATACAGGGAGAGAGCTTAAAAAAGGCCGTCATAAAAGAGGTGTTCATCAAAGAAATCAGTGACCGTTCTTACAGGTGGTCCTTCCGTGCAAGAGTCACACACAAGAACAAGTTGATACATTTCAACACGAAAAGATCTGGATGCATAATGGCATTTGACGTTGTCAATGTCTAGGGAACAGAGATTAGAATTATTGGCTCCGACGATTGTGCCTTGGTTTTGTCAGATAAGATTGTACAGGGTACAGTGTATTCATTTTCTGGTAGTGGTGGAATACGACGTTCCAATAGGCATACACACCATTTGAAGCGACATGGGAGATTCAGGCTAACAAAGGTATGGAGTTTACAGCTTTGGATGAGGATGCAACGTTCCCAAGAATCGTCTTGGCAAAAACAAGCATATTAAGTGCGTGTCAGAAGGAAAGGGACTCTTTTGTCAATGTGGTTGGTATCGTAATATGGATCGGTACAATTACAGTAACATCACGTGACAGTGGAGCTTTTGTGAAGAAGAGAACATTGTGTCTAGGTGATGATTCAGGCCACAGTGTTGATCTATGTCTCTGGGATTTAAAAGCAGAAGAAGAGGGCTCATATATACAGGAGCGGATAGACAGTGGAGTTCAGCCAATAATATGTGTCAAGGGTGGAAAGGTATCGGACTACAATGGTAAATCACTTTCAGCAATTGGTGTGAGCACCATTCTTATTGAACCGGAAATGGAAGCAGTGGCTGATTTGAGAGAATGGATGACATTGTACTACAATGTCACTAACTTCATACATTTGAGCACTTCATCATCCAGACAGACTGTTAGCCACACCACTACTTTATCAGAGATATCAAACATGCAGTTAAAGGTGTTAGAGAGTTCCCCTATCTATAGAGTGATAGCTACTGTGAAGGAAATGAAGACAGATGAGTTTTACTATAATGCATGCATCAATGTCGTGAATGCACGGCAATGTGGCAAAAAAACTACCCGAACAGCAGATGGTTGGTTCTGCAGTTATTGCAATATTGAGTCTGCCAACATGGAGTTCAAGTATGCTCTAAAGATGTGCATCGAGGATAGTAGCAGTCATGTGTGGGCCATTGCATTTCAAGAGGCTGCACAGGAAATAGTGGGAATGTCAGCAAAGGAACTAGCTACAATGCGAGATGAGAACTACCCTGCATTCTCACTACTTATTGATGGTATCCGCTCAAAGATTTACAATTTCAAAATCCGGAGCAAGCTTGAAAAATACCAAGACATGGAGAAGCTAAGGTTCTATATACTTGGACTTGAGACCTAAGGTATGCAGATTCCATTCTAATCTTTTACATGTTGATATATTTATCTGTGTTTTGTTTTGTAGTTACATGGAACTTGCAAAAACAAATAAAATAAAACACACCTCCTAGC